GCACTCACCTCCACCGTGCACCGGCGCCTCCTCTCGCACTCACCTCCACCGTGCACCGGCGCCTCCTCTCGCACTCACCTCCACCGTGCACCGGCGCCTCCTCTCGCACTCACCTCCACCGTGCACCGCCGCCTCCTCTCGCACTCACCTCCACCGTGCACCGCCGCCTCCTCTCGCACTCACCTCCACCGTGCACCGCCGCCTCCTCACACTCACCTCCACCGTGCACCGCCGCCTCCTCTCACACTCACCTCCACCGTGCACTGCCGGCCTCCTCTCACACTCACCTCCACCGTGCACTGCCGGCCTCCTCTCACACTCACCACTGAAACCTCCACTGTTCTTGAGAGCACCTTAGGCTTGAATGTCCCCACACTCTGTTCTAAATCAAGCCAGTTCCTCTGGGGAGAGCTCTGGAGCTCTCTGTTCTCAGGGCCAGCCTCTCCCTCAGGGCACATCTCTGAGCCCTGCTCCGGAGCTGGGGCAGGAACAGTGCTCACGTCCATCAGAGGGACAGCAGCTGTACTAGTTTTCTCACCTTGCCTCTCTCGGTGTGGCCTCCACCACTGAGCCAGCCGGGATGAGGACAAGTGAGGCCTCGGTATTCTCACCCTGCTATGCCCGGGGAGAGCCTCTGCCTAGAATTTGGTTCCTGCCACTCGAGGCCGGGGAGAATGAGAAATGCTAGTGGCCTGCCCCTCCCAGTGCAATCCTGCCTCCCTTGACTGGGAGCTACGGGGAGAAGGACCCTGTTTTCTTGGCCACGCCCACCTGGAGTGGAGCCTCTCCCGCTGAGCAGGAGGGAGCAGAGGAGGCAGGTCCCGGCTCAAAGGCCAGGCTCCCACCGTTCTCGCAGAGCCTTCGGAGACCTTCCAGCATGAACGTTCCGCTATTTGTCGTAAGCCCCTAGGACAACTTCCAGAGACCTAAAGTGGTTGTTTTTTAATAATATTCCCAGTTACAGTTATTTCTCTGGAGTGGGCCATGGAGCTCTTCACACCACCATTCCCAAAGTGGAAGCCAACAGTTTCAAACGTGAAGTCTGCTGACTGAGTTTCATTTTATGATGGTGCCTTTGGTTTCACGTCTAAGAAACCCTCAGTCTAGTCCTAGGTCACCAAGATCTTCCCCTGTGTTTCTTCTAAAAGTTTTAGTGTTATGTTTTACATTTGGATCTCTGATCCACCTTGAAGTCGCTTGCGCATCAAGTGTGAGGTTTAGGTCCAGGTTCACTTCTGTGCCTAGGAATGTTCAGTTGAGCCAGCACCACGTGTGGCAGAGACGACCTCGAGTCTCCTTGTGCACGCTCCGGTCTGTGCCCTGGGCCTGCGGGCCTCTCTCTTCACCGGTACCACACCGTCCGGATCGCAGCACCGCAACAGCAGGTCTTAAGTCATGTGCTGTGGTTCCTCCAATTCCAGTCTGCTTTCTCAAAACTGTCTCCGCTACCCCATTTCCTTTGCCTTTCCATGTAGATTTTAGAATCAGCTTGTTTATATCTACAAAGAATCCTGCTGGGATTTTGACAGGAATTGTGTTAGACCCACAGATCCACGTGGGGAGAAATGGCCCCTTTGCTATGTCGAGTCTTCCCGTCGTGGATAGAGGATTTCTCTTCAGGTATCCAGGTCTTCCCTCTGCATCGGCAGTTTCCAGTTTTCAGTATACAAATTCTGCACGTTTTGTTAGATCTACACCAAAGCATTTCAGCATCTGGAGTGACTGGAACAAGTTCTGTTGCCCACGTATCCTCAACTTCCAGGGGAACGAACTCCCTCCTGCTGCTCTTTTATGCCGGGAAGATCTCTGGGAACCCCACCTATTAGTTTTCCCAAATGAACTTTAAAATTACTTGATTTTCACAAACTATCCTATTGATTATTCTACTAGAATCACATTTAATCTATAAACAAACTAGACAATTTTAGAGTATTTAGTGTTTCCACTCAAGTACATGATTTCACTCCAATTAAATTTTCTTTCAAATCTTCTAATAATTAACCAGATGAATAATAAAATCGCATTAAGCAGCTTTTGAGCTAATTTTAAAACATTTTAGGGGGCCAGCCAGGGGCGTAGCAGTTAAGTGCGTGCACTCTGCTTCAGCAGCCCGGAGTTCGCCGGTTCGGATCCCGGGCACACACTGACGCACCGCTTGTCCAGCCATGCTGTCACAGCATGCCATATAAAGTAGAGGAAGATGGGCACAGATGTTAGCCCAAGGCCAATCTTCCTCAGCAAAAAGAGGAGGATTGACAATAGATGTTAGCTCAGGGCCGATCTTCCGCACACACACCACAAAAAATAAATAAATAAATAAACATTTTAAAATAATATTCAACACTAAGGAAGCTGAAACAAAACTGGTATGTTCATACGTTACAAATTAGTATCACACTTCTGAAAGCTATAGAGCCATATATATTAAAATCAATGAAAACATTTGTTCTTTTTTTTTTTAAATTTTTTGTTTATTGCAGTAACATTGGTTTATGACATTGTAAAAATTTCAGGTGTACATCATTGTACTTCTATTTCTGCATAGATTACATCATGTTCACCACCCAAATACTAATTACAACCCATCACCACACACGTGTACCGAATTATCCCTTTCACCCTCCTCCCTCCCCCCTTCCCCTCTGGTAACCACCAATCCAATCTCTGTCCCTATGTGTTTGTTTATTGTTGTTATTATCTACTACTTAATGAAAGAAATCATACGCTATTTGACCTTCTCCCTCTGACTTATTTCACTCTGCATAATACCCTCAATGTCCATCCATGTTGTCACAAATGGCTGGATTTCATCGTTTCTTATGGCTGAGTAGTATTCCATTGTGTATATATACCACATCTTCTTTATCCATTCGTCCCTTGATGGGCACTTAGGTTGCTTCCAAGTCTTGGCTATTGTGAATAACGCTGCAATGAACACAAGGGTGCATGTATCTTTATGCATTGGTGTTTTCAAGTTCTTTGGATAAATACCCAGCAGTGGAATAGCTGGATCGTATGGTAGTTCTATCCTTGATTTTTTGAGGAATCTCCATACTGTTTTCCATAGTGGCTGCACCAGTTTGCACTCCCACCAGCAGTGTATGAGAGTTCCCTTCTCTCCACATCCTCTCCAACACACTTTGTTTCCTGTCTTGTTAATTATAGCCATTCTGACGGGCGTGAGGTGATATCTCCTTGTAGTTTTGATTTGCATTTCCCCGATAGTTAGTGATTTTGAACATCTTTGCATGTGTCTGTTGGCCATCTGTATATCTTCTTTGGAGAAATGTCTGTTCAGGTCTTTTGCCCATTTTTTAACTGGGTTGGTAGTTTTTTGTTGTTGAGATGCATGAGTTCTTTATATTTTGGAGATTAAGCCCTTATCAGATGTATGGTTTGCAAATATCTTCTCCCAATTGTTAGGTTGTCTTTTCGTTTTGTTGATGGTTTCCTTTGCTGTGCAGAAGCTTTTTAGTTTGATGTAGTCCCATTTGTTTATTTTTTCTATTGTTTCTCTTGCCCGGTCAGACGTGGTGTTTGAAAAGATGTTGCTAAGACCGATGTCGAAGAGCGTACTGCCTATGTTTTCTTCTAGAAGTTTCACAGTTTCAGGTCTTACATTCAAGTCTTTAATCCATTTGGAGTTAATTTTTGTGTATGGTGTAAGGTAAGGGTCTACTTTCATTTTTTTGCATGTGGCTGTCCAGTTTTCCCAACACCATTTGTTGAAGAGACTTTCTTTTCCCCATTGTATGTTCTTGGCTCCTTTGTCAAAGATTAGCTGTCCATAGATGTGTGGGTTTATTTCTGGGCTTTCGATTCTATTCCATTGATCTGTGTGTCTGTTTTTGTGCCAGTACCATGCTGTTTTGGTTACTATAGCTTTGTAGTATATTTTGAAATCAGGGAGTGTGATATCTCCAGCTTTGTTCTTTTTTCTCAGGATTCCTTTAGCTATTCGGGGTCTTTTGTTGTTCCATATAAATTTTAGGATTCTTTGTTCTATTTCTGTGAAAAATATTGTTGGAACTTTGATAGGGATTGCATTGAATCTATAGATGGCTTTAGGAAGTATGGACATCTTAACTATGTTAATTCTTCCAATCCAAGAGCACGGAATATCTTTCTATTTCTTTGTGTCTTCTTCAATTTCTTTCAGAAATGTTTTATAGTTTTCGGTGTACAGATCTTTCACCTCTTTGGTTAAGTTTATTCCTAGGTATTTTATTCTTTTTGTTGCAATTGTAAATGGGATGGTATTCTTAATTTCTCTTTCTGCTACTTCGTTGTTAGTGTACAGAAATGCAACTGATTTTTGTATGTTGATTTTGTATCCTGCAACTTTACCATATTCGTTTATTACTTCTAAAAGTTTTCTGGTGGATTCTTTAGGGTTTTCTATATATAAAATCATGTCATCTGCAAATAGTGACAGTTTCACTTCTTCCCTTCCAATTTGGATCACTTTTATTTCTTTCTCTTGCCTGATTGCTCTGGCTAGGACTTCCAGTACTATGTTAAATAGGAGTGGTGACAGTGGGCATCCTTGTCTGGTTCCTTGTCTTAGAGGGATGGCTTTCAGTTTTTCACCATTGAGGATGATATTAGCTGTGGGTTTCTCATATATGGTCTTTATTATGTTGAGATACTTTCCTTCTATACCCATTTTATTCAGAGTTTTTATCATAAATGGATGCTGTATCATGAAAACAGTTAAGAATTAGGATAAGGAACTATTCCAAGACATTAGAAGCTCTATACAGGTATAAGTTCAGTGCAGTATTTTCATGACATAATGTTAAAAAATGCAGAATATAAAATGGCAAATATACATTTGTTGTAGCCATAAAAAAAAAAAAAAAACTGTGTGTGTCTGGTATTGGGGTTAAGACAGTGATATCATGGGAGCTTTCCGTCATTTCAGAAAGTCTCCTTTAACGTTCTGTGAGCAACTACTCAGGCCGACCAGGTGCCCCCGTGCAGGCGTCAGTATCAGAGTAATGTCTAAAAACAATTTGAGGGAGACACTGACAAGAACCCCTAGATGATCCAAAGGGTTGCCAGGGACACAGGGGACAAACAAGACCTAGAGAGGAGCGGGGATGATGCCTCTCCGCGGGGCAGAGGACAGAGGGGAGAGCGCCAGGGAGCAGAGGAGCCCCGGGCTTGCTCACGCCGTCCGCTCACCGTGCACTCTTAACTCTGCACCGGGTTGACCTTCCCGACTTACCAGGGTCATGTCATCGCAGCATGCGGCGCAGGTGCAGGAGGCGGCGTGAGGGTTTAGGATCCCGTCCTGAAATTTAAGAAGCACCGTGATGCCTAAGACAGTCGGCCGGTACCCGTGACTCAGCCACGCTGGAAGACTGCAGTTAGCTCTTCCGCTTCTCTACCGTGCGTAGGTTAAACACTGTGATCTCCACCCTCTCCTCTGCCCACACTTCTCCCTTCTCCAGTGCTGTTACTGTGGCCGGATCTACTCCTCCTTCTAAGGAGTGAGCAGGTTCTACGCGCATTATTTCTTTATCCACACCCAAGGAGCTAAACTAGAAACATGAACAGGCAGCCCTCTCCTCTTATGAGGAAACTGATGTGGAGAGAAGTTAGGTGTCTTTTAAAAAGCCACATGTGTGCAAAGAGAAGCTGCCATGTTGCCTCATCCACTCCTCACAACTGTGTGGAGCAGACCTCACCATCCTCCCATTTGAAACATCAGGAAACTGAGAGACAGAGATGTTAAGTAACTTGCCCAAGGTCACACTGCTAGTGAGGGAGGGTTCAAACCCAGTCTGACTCCAGCCTGGGCGTCTCGCCTCTGGGCTGGCAGCCTGGGAATACCCCACAGCCTGAGCCTTGGGAGACGCCCCGAGGCCCCGGAAGCTTCGTGCTGAGGCCGGGGCGAGCGTGTCCCATACCTGAATGAGGCACTGCAGTGGCCGGCCCGCGTAGCGGATGCTCCTCTTCCAGTCTTTGCTGCTGGCTCTCCCCGCCACGGCTTCAAACTCGGTGGGGCTGTACCAGTTCTCGCCCTGCTTGATGCAGCGCCCCCGGCCCCCTGAGACAGCACGCGCCTGTCAGACTGCAGCCACCCTTCCCGCTGCCGGCCCAGCTGGCCGACGCCGGGCCCGGCCATTCTCCTGCCTTCGCCTCTCCTTCCCGCCCCTGCCTGGCTCCTCCTGGGACGCCCCGAAAACACGAGCGCTCCCCTCCCCGGGCCTGAGCTTGCCCACCCCAGAGGCCCACAGGCCACGCAGCCACCTGCACCTCGCACGTGCTCTTGCAGGCTGTGCCTCTGACCGCCTACTCGACCTCTCCAGCCGCTGCCCACGGGCACTGCAGGCCCAACCATGTCCCACACTGAGCCCGTGACAGCTGCCCGCTCCCAGAACCAGCTGCCTACAGGTCACTGAGCTGACCCAGGAACTTAGGGAGCACGTGCCAGCCCTGCCTCTGCCCTTGCTCCTCTCCCTCCCAGGGGTCACCACGTTTTCTCAATGTGCCCCTGAGTCGCCCCCTCCTCTCCATGGCCCTAGCTCCCAGGGCCGTGAGCCATGCACAGCTCCCGTCATCCCAACTAGTTCACCTGTCATGACAGCCCTACTGGGCCCCGGTTTCCCGTGGGGAGCTACCAAGGGCAGCTCCCTGGGATCAAGCAGCGGCCGGGCCGCCTGCCGTCCCCACCTGAGCCGAGCCTGCTCTTGTACAGGGTGCCACTGATGTTGCGGCAGCGCACGGGCAGCTCGCTGTCGTACACTGACGGGTCCCAGTTGTATTTGGTGCCACCCTTTTCTTGGCCAGGAGCCAGAGGAGTCGGAGGAGACTGGGGACCTTGGGCAAAGGAAGCATTTTGAAAGTAAGAGACACCAGATATATCCTAAATAATTAGAAAAGTACAAGAAACTCCCTTGATTCTAACAGCAGACTCTCCAGCTGTTCACGGACCGTCTGACTTAGCAGCACTGCCCCTTCAACTCTGGGAGACTCTGTCTCAGCCTGGAAAATTCCACTCTTGCTGTCACCAAACAGGTGCCTCAAGAAACTCAAGGGTGGGTTTGGAAGCAATTAGCTGTTTTTCCAAGTTGTCTCTTTTCCCTGTGTCTGTCAAGGAGATGTAACCACCAACCACCCTGAAACTGACCGGGCCTCACCACAAGAGCTATGCCCATGACCTTTGCCTTACCTTTAAAGCAAAGATCTCTCCAGGAGGAGCTTAGGCCTCATTATGTGGAAGCATGTTCTCCAGCTGAGCCCGTGCAAGCGCATACCGAATACCGGCCCCTCCCTTTTGAATATTCATTCCCCAACCAAATAAAAGATCCTCTTTCCCTTTGTTTGGGAATGCCATGACTTTGCAAATGGTTCCTCATGACCTCCTATTTGCTGCAAATACACTTTACTTTGTGAGACAACTTCCAGGGGTGTAGAGTCTTATTTAACTCACCAAGAGGAGAGCCCACTTCATTCAGTAACATTTCTACTTAATGATATTTGACATTCCAAATTTACCGCAAAAATAAATAAGTCAAACCCCAGAACAGACTCCATTAACTCTTGGGCGCGTTTTCCTCCAGAAAGCCTGGAGCAGGAAGGGCGGTACCTGGCGTGAGAGGCGCAGCCGGCCCCTTCAGCCCAGCGGTTTCCACGATGCTCCCGTCCGTGTGCACCACAATCAGCGTGGCTTTCTCGGTGTTCAGGCTGTCCCCAATCTGAAGGGCTGTCCTCCCAGACTAGGGGAGAGAACGTCCCATAAGTCATCTCAAGTGACAGCGTGGGCATGTCACCTGGTGCAGAGAGACATGGTCCTACAGTGAGGTTCTTGCTAACCATCACCAACAAAGGGATGCCTACCACACCTCAAGGTCTTTTTAAAGACGTCTCTAAAAGACTTAAACTCAGAAGCGAGAACAGGAAAAGACATGCCAGGTCTGCACAGCCCTGAACAAACGCTCCCCATCCCTTGTCAGAATAAACGTTCCTGGAAACAGGAAATGCCCTCATGTCTACCCGCGCAGCTCCTGTGAGCTGCAAGGCCACAGGTCTCACGGGAGGGTTTCCGAGAGACCATGCCTATGCTCACAGCCAAGGCCCAGGGCAGAACTCCCTTCTGCCGTGTCCCATCCAAGGCTCTTCCCCGATGGCCACCAGAGCCCGGGTCCTCCCAAACCGCACTACTTACAGCCCTCTCCGCACTGGCAGGATGCTGCTGTGACCTCGCCTCCTTCCTCTGGGCCAGACCCGGCCTCGCCCTCCTCCTCAGTAGCCAGACGTCCCTCTCCTGTTCCTGCTGCCCACTATGCGCAGGCCTTGGTCAGTCATCTGCCAAACTCTCAAGGCCTCACTCAGACACCCTGGGGTAGACTAGAAACTGCCAAGCAACCTGTCCAGCCCAACGTTCTGGAATGCTCCATGTTGAGAGGATAAAACCAGCAAAGGCAAAGTTAAAGTTTCTTACATCTGAAAATGCCGTCTTCCAATCAGGGGAAGTGAGTAGAAGTTACCCATGTTGTTGAGGGACCCCCCGACTCCACACACATGCGCACACACATACACGCACACGCACACGCACCCGGGCCTGTGCTCACAGACCTGGAGGGTCAATGCCTCAGTAAGGGCGTCTACACTGCTTGCGTCTGAATCACTGAAGACATGCAGCTCTCTACTGGAAAAGGGGGATGGTTTGTGTTCGTTTAAGAATCACGAAGTATTTTTCTTAGGAAGGCAAGCGGGAAATATAGATATTTGAGACCCCCTCTCCTTGGTGTCCGTTTCCAACAGGATCACACTAGTTCCTGGGTCTGCTGTCCTCAGAGCCCACTGGAAACACCGCACTCAGGAGGCTCAGACCCGGGGTGCACCCTAGCTCCCTGACCCTCTGGCTGCAGCCTAGAAAAGAGGATGAGACAGGATCTGCTGCCGGGAAAGTGTGACCAGCTGGAAGCAGGAAATCGTCCCCTGGCTACTGGCCTGAGTGCGTTGTGACACCGTAATAAATACACCAAGCTTCTTGGATCTGTGCTCTGGGTCTTTCGCTACACTGGGCTAGTCTTTGCTACGGCACTGCGCTATCCTCCACTGTGCGCTATCATGACAGGAGCATGAGGCTTCTGTTGGTTATCATTCCAATGACAATACCTTTGCTCTCAGGGATGTAGGGCCGAGGGGGGTGAACAAGGCTAAGAAAAAACCGTAACCAACAGTCTGGCAAAGGCCTCAGGAAACCCCCTTTCTGAAGACTCTGCCCACCCCTGGCATCTCCCACTTAGACACAAGGCTGTCCCCAAATCACGGAAGGCCTCAGATGTAAAGGTGAAACCAGGGTGATGCAGCATGACCATGAAAGGCTCTGACTCTGGGCACAAAGGCTATGTGAAACGTGCCTGGCTCTTAGCAGCCACCTTAAGAGGACGGGCAGTCACTGTGCAGAACGCATGAGTCGGGCAGGAGACGAGCTGTAAATGCTACCAACAGGATGCTGGGCCAGGCCAAAGACGGTGACCCTTCCAAATGTCGGGAGCTATATGAACGAGGAAAGCAGGCAGGACGGGGCCACTAGTGAGGCTGAGAGAGGCCTGACCCCGGGTGGCTGCCGGAGCTCCCACCCCGGGGGGGATACCACACAGCCCTGTGGCGAGGACGGCACGAGCACTGTCCCTGGCTGCAGGCTCTGGAGGGTCCCTCCCGCTCTCCCACATTCCAGAGGCTGCTTCCACCTCAGCTCTCATTTCTCTACCAAGAGCTCGGCCCTGGGGGCCCCCTGAGAGCAGCAGCCGCACGCCTTCCCGGGGCCCAGGGCACCCGCGCTGCTGACAGAACCCTGACTGTGTCTCTGGGGGACCTGGGGCCACTCTCCTCAGGTCTGGGGAGAAGCCCAGGGGCTGAAGCGCTGCAGAGCGCCTTACCAGAACGTGTCCCGAGAGCGAGGCGGCGTTCGCCACCGACGTGGTGAAGACGTTGTCTGCAGATGCACCCACATTGGCCACCGTCACAGTGGTCACCTCTGCAACACAGGAGTCTGACTCAGCGCGCCATCAGAGCCAGAGGCCCCAACACAGCCTTTCCCAGCCAGGTGTCCCCACTTCCCACCAGAGCTTAATCCACATTTCTAGACCAGAGTCTAAATGATCTGGGTCTTCCAGGAAAAAAGGCAACCTCTCCCTCCCGGGAGACCCTTTTATGCACAGCGAAAAGCCGAGCACAGCAAACCCGCTCCCCACGTGCCCGCTGACCCGGCCACAGGCCCTGCTGAACCACCGCTGGCTTCTCGCTCCCTTTGGGAGAAAACCATGGCCCTCGGAGGCCCCACCAATCCCATACAGACACTGATCGGATCAGACGCAGAGCAGACAGCAACAGCACCACCTACACAGAGTTCCCGCTCTCATTCGCGCCCTCCCATCTGGGTGGAGACCCCTCCTGGCCCCGTTCCCACTGGTCTTCCCTCCCTCCTGGCCTGGCCTCCTCCCACGCCTCCTTCATCTCCAGGCCAATGCCATCAGATGACCTTAGCCTCTTCCTCCTGAAAAGCATGTCCGACCTGCCTGGGCCCCCTGCACCTCCAGGCAGTGTCTACACACAGGTGTTCTGCACACTCCCATGTTCCCCCTCCCACCTCTTAGCCACCTGTCACCCCCAAACAGGCCACACTGCTCCGTCTGTGTCACATCTCCCTTACCCGCTCAGTGCCCACTCCTGATGCAACCACCATTCAGCTCAGGCACCACCTCTGCAGAGCCTTTCCTCAATGCTCCCCAGCCGACAAGTGGGGTCGCCCAGCATTCTAGAATGTTGCATGCCTTGGGCAGTCTCTGGCATGTGGGAGGTGCTCAAAAAATACTAGCTGAAAGAGTCCTGCACATTCCATTAACCAAGCACTCACCAAACTGCACTGAAAATGCCTGTTTCCCAGTCTGTCTCCACTAGCAGACGGCATGCTTATGTACCAGCAAGCCCCACGTGCTGAGGAGCCCTCTGTCTGAACACACTCAAGTCTAAAGACCATGCAAGCAGCCGTCTGCCCAGGGGAGGTGGCCTCAGACAATCAACGTGTCCTGCAAAGTTACTCACATCTGGAAACTATGGTCCTCAGGAATTCATGACAAAAAAAGTTTTAGTCCTTTAACACATGCAAAAACACAACTATAAAATTTTGCAAAAAAAAAAAACACGTAACGTCAACACATTTCTCTGATGTCACGGATGGCATCACATTTTTTTTCTGCATTCAGAAAAATATGTGCAGGGGCCGATGGCTTAGCGGTTAAGTGTGCACGCTCC